TTTTTTGCGGTAAGAGTGCTACCGATTTTGAACAAAATTTTTGACGAGAATACGCTGCGCTGTTCCCTCGGGTCTTTCAGAAATAAAGCAATAAAATTGGCCAGTGCGGAAGTTTCTTAATACGTGCGATCGTTCTTCATATGGTTGATCGTGTAGACTGATTTCACAGTATTGTTTCATAATTTCGCTTATACTTTAATGTCGTCTCTCTTCATTATGCCGTAGCTTTCATCGGCAAAGTGGAGTTCGTTTTTGTTTTTCATTGCATTGTATAACACCACGTAGTTTAGCTGCGTCCAGAAATAAATAAATAAATAATTAGATGACTGCAAATTCAATGCTACAGCTGTAACCAGCATCGTGGATTAAGTGGTAACCCTCTATCCCCAGCCAATAGGACAAGTCGCGGCTCACTTCTGCTGACCCCAGCAACTAACCAGCAACAATCATATCATTACGCCTGCCCAAGCTCGCATACTAATGTCAACAAAAGCTCAATATTACACGCTTGGTCACAGCTTCCATACCTAATCCAATCACCAATGCTGGAATACAAAATAATGCACAGGATAGACCTGTAAGGGAAGAAAGAGGAAAATTAGACAGTTTAATTACCATGCAAATCAATGACCAGGTCTTACATATTGTTCTCCAAGCTGCGAATGTCTGTTGTGCGACTAGTGCTTCAGATGTACGGAAACACGCATATTTCATAACCACTTCTCAGAGCCGACATCCACGAGCGTATGCCATCTACTCAGCTGTCCATCATGGCTCGTTACAGTTCATGGAACCGTAACGACCAAAGTAATGCAACAGAAGAGACATCAATCTCCGTCCCCCAACCCGTCATATCACATCGATGGAAAACTGCAAAATGCGCTAACATCGACTACCTTGCCAAATTTCCCGATTCTATCAAGCTTTTCGTCAGCGACTGCAAGTAAACAGCTATCGTCGATCAATCGCCTGAAAACAACTGTTACCATACTCCACCGCCAACATCTTGGCAATGTTCGACAACAATATACTGCGACACTGCGAAGGCCCAAGTGGAGACATGACCAGCTACTCATCAACGCATCACGTACACTTCCGCTATTGAGCGACAACATCATCATCCTCGAAGAGCACGACAACATCGTAGCAAAAACATCAACAGGAACGAGCATCTCTGTTCAAGTATCCATGAATAACATGGAAAAATCTACACCAAAGATCGCGAAACACATGCACAATCAAACTTGGGTCTCTCCACGGATGTTATTCATGTTATATTGGACCTACTATGAAAGTATCGTGTGCCTATTCAATTCCTCGAGAAACGGTAATGACAAAATGCGAAAATCAGAGCCAAATCCCAATTTGGAAGCCTAAAGACCATATTTCAAAACTACCATTTCGGTTCGAGAAAAGTTATATCGATATGAACTGCAGCGCCAGGTGTCCTGCAGGTGAAACGTTTATCACATTACGTGGATGCTACATATATTACGCCAACGAACCGCGCTTACAAAATGATACGTCACAAGGTAAACACAGTCGATCAGAGAAAAACAGGACCACCCACATTCGTCAAGAGCATAAAGAATACATTCGACACAAGACACAAGATCAGCACCATTCGGTCGTTGTGGGAAACTTGGGGTTTTATTGTCCTGATTGTAATCACTCTCCCCATCGCTATATCTCTACACAGTGTGTTTCATAATTATAAGGTCGCCCTCAAATTTTGCACTTTCAGAAGAAGCAATCATTTAGAATTTTTTCTAGCATCATAAACAGGTCCCCAGCACGACTAACCTATTTTCCGTTTTTTTTGCAGCAGCTGCATTTTTTTGAATTTTTTTAGATCAGTTTATCGGTTTTTGCACCTTCCACGTTCGGTCTTCTTGAAACCTGGGCATGTTGTACAATGCTTTACGCTCTTTTGCCTTACAGGTTTGTTATGGTAGAAACCTCTCTACTTATCGGTCAACGTTTCAACAAATCGTCGTCTTCAGGATCTGACAACAGTTTGGAGCTCCTGATCTGTGGCTTACCCGACCGAGCGCCCAAACGCGCTAACCCAGCTGCAACAGTTCCTAGAAACTTGAACACTAAAAGATCCCACCCGAGAAACCAACTTTCTGCAGTTCCACCAACGTTGCCGTCCCACTCAACTTCGTGAACAACAAGGACCAATGAGACACCATTGACGGCCGTTGGATAAGAGTTCCGCGGTGCTCTCAAAGCCCACAAGAAGAAATGAATGGCAGAAGTTCGCCTGTTATGGCAGTGCACTCGTTTAGGTTGTTCAGCTCGGGATTTCTCTTTCGGATGTGCAACGCTCCCAAGATCTTTCTAACACCGATCTCATTCTCGTAGGCCAAGATTTTGCACTTGATATCAAAATCATTGCCTCAATGT